ACGTGAAAAACTCACAAAGGGGCACCATGTAAGAGTATTACAACCAAGGACTCTGTTACTGCGGGCTCCGTGTCCGAAGGTAATTAACAATACAGGGAGTGCCAATACAGGGAGACTCTGGAAGCTTCCCCCGAGGTCACGCATGCTTGCCGCTTTCTTCTCACCAAACAAAACACCGCGAAACCCCCACAAAACACATCCAGGAGGCAGCACGAGCTCCAGGCACCTGCCAGCCTAAAACACTGCCTGCTCCAAATGAAAGGGCAGTGTCCGGAACTCAGCAGCCCCTGCCACAGAGGGGTGGCCGAACACCCCTTAGATTTGGGAGTCTGACACTGAAGCCGAGCAGGAATTTTGCGTTATTTTGGAGAGTTTCTCTACAGTTACTAGGTAATCCCCTTTAAGGTTCCAGAATTTTCTTTTAAAAATGGTGCTTTTGAAGTATAGCCTTAAAAAGAATCCTCTGTAACTCTGACAGATACACAGGGACACAGGTCCTCTGTATGCCTGAGAAACCGTGGAGCATGCATCTCTTTAGTCCAGTGTTCCATCCTTAACACCGGCCTCCACGTCCCCTTTCGGTGATGACGGGCATGACACCTTCTGAGGCTGTCTTTCTCCCAGTAGCGCAGTCCTCGGGGCAGACACGTGTCTGTCCTGTAATGCATATGCTGACTGACGCTGGGACAGCAGCCACGGGATTCAATCCGAGGCTCTGGCTTTCCTTCTGCAGGAGCAGGAGTGGGTCCAGGAGCCAGGGCGCCCGGTCGCTGTGGCGAGCAGGGCCGTGGGGGCTGGAAGCCCTCGGCATGGCATCTGGTTGACGGGAAGTCCTTCGTCCACACTTCCTGTTGTTACTGAGGTTTCTTGTTGGCTTCCAGTTTGTTCCTGGATGCCTGAGGCCTCCTCCCCGAACCCCTCTCTCTCCACGATGGGGGTTGCTGAGCACCTGCAAGGCCTGGGGGGGTGGGGTGGGGGGCAGAGCCCGCTCACCCTCCAGCCCCAGAAGCCAACACCTAGCACTTTGGTGCATGTCACTTTTTCTATAATGAACCTGCACTGCTTTTATAGGCAGGGAGGGGGGAGTCCGCTCTAATACCTACGCACATATTACAGTGATTCCGAAGAGAATGACTGAGTTTAAGAGTTTTTAAGCTCACCACGATTCCGCCCTCGGGCAGTGGGTTTGTGACCCCGTCTGACGTTCTGCTGCTCTCCTGGCTGACAGATCCCATACCTTCTCCTCTGTCCTCGCTAGCTCCTCCCCAGCCTAACTCTGAGCAGTGACTCTGCTTGCTGAATCCATGGGAAAACACAAGGCTCTGGGAGAGAACCGGGGGTCACGAGCTCCTGCCACCACGTCTCCGCCTGGGCTCTGCCTCTGTGCCAAGTCCTCTCCAAGGGTGGCCCTCCCTTCACCAAGCGAGCAACAGCTGGCAGGACACGGGAAGAGCACAGCCGCGCCCACAACTCTGGCAGTCCAGCTACCCAAAGCATAAATAGGAGGCAAAGATGGAGTCGTACCAACGCCACGGCTGTTACATCTCAGTGGCAGGCAAACGGCTATGCTTTCTTTTATGACAGAGCTACTTCACAACTAACATTTAAAAAGAAAAAGAAAAAGAAGCAAAGTCTACAGATAAAAAGTCATGAGGGAAGTTGAAGAAATCAAAGTTGATCTAGGACAAAAGGTATTTTGGCCTTTTCTTCCTCCAGCACAGGTGACAATATCCCAAACCCAAAACCAACACCCAAAATGCCTCCAAATCCCAAACTTCTTCATGGTGGCACTCAAAGGCAATGCTCATTGTCAGCATTTCTGATTTTGAATTTTTAGACTTAGGATGCTCAACCAGTAAGTATAATGCAAATATTCCAAATTTCGAAAAGATCCAACATCCAAAACACATCCACTTCCAAGCATTTCTGAGAAGAGATGCTCAACCTGTACAGACTTTCCCAAAGACGTGATCTGCTCACCTGACGCTTCTAAAATCTCAACTTAAATGGCACACAAATCCATGGTAGGACTAGTGCTTTTCTGTTGGAAGTGGGAATTTATTAGGACTAAGTGTATTGAATAAGAACCATGATCAGAAAAAGGCTGTGTTGAACGAGAGACCACCCACACGAGGGAATGGTCAGGAAATGGGACAGATCATCCGTGGGAGGCCGCCCGAGGACCCTTCCTGCCCCGAGTACATGCTCATCTGTTCAAAGGGAGCCAGCACTCACGGCAAATGCTGGTGTCATTCCTGACAATTTTATATGCATATATTTGTGTGTGTGTGTGTGTGTGTGTGTGTGTGTATGTGTGTTTCCACAGCTTCAAATGTCAAAAGAATAGTTAAGATTAAATTTAATCATAACAGCAATTTGGGATTGACATAAAAATACACCTAAAAATGTTTCTACTCCCATATCATAAAAATGTGGCTCTGAAGACAGCTTCCTATCCATTTTCAAATTATCACCTAACCTGAGATTAATATTTCTTTGTAGTATTTTACAGTGGGTTGAAATGACCAGAATGCAGTCTACAAGAGCAGGCTTCACACGAGAGGCTTCTAAGGCACAGGCTGGTGTGCAGGCTGTGACCCGTGTCACACGGGACTGCTGCAGGTGCACGCACCCTTTCTCTGCCCACTGTTCCTGGGCACCGCTGCTACGTTATTTAAAATTGCTCTGCAAACACTCCCACCACGCCCACCAACCCGTGCACAAATCTGCAGTAAATGCCAGGAGGTCCAGCACTGTCTTCGACCAATTTGGAACCTGGTTACAAGGAAGGAAAACAGCCAGCATCAGCCTCATGGGACAGTATCCCCCACATGCCACCTCTCAAGTGGGGTGGCTCACCCCAAAAGAAGAGAATGAGGGTGACAGGCTGCAGGAGAGGCCCAGGCCTTGAACTGGCATGTAAAGGCGACATCACGGGCATTCATCAGTACCAGTCAACGGATACTGAGATGACATTTATTGAGGAACTTCTAAAAAGCTGACACCTATTTTTCATCTTTATAAGAACTCTGAAGAGAGGCATTATCATCCCTGGCTAAGAAATGAGAAAACAAAACCGAGCTGCTCATCAACTCGCCCGTGCTCCCACAGCAAGCCGGCCACGTGGGCAGGCCCCAGGTCCCCTTTGTGGGAGGCTGAAGGCCCAGTCTGCCCTCATCCCGAGCCAGGATCCCATGCCAGGTCTACACAGGCAGGGTGCACTTTCCAAGGTTAACCTGAAGCCCGCTTTGTTCAGATCAATTGGAAACTGCAGATTTACAGTCTTTTCCCAGCCCATCAAGCTACCAAAAAACCCTGTTACCCTTGTGCCACGCCTGGCTGAGCACGAGCAAGTTGTCTCAAAAACGCCCAGCTACAGAAGTCAGCGTTTACACGGAAACAACACCAGCAAAGTGAAAACCGAAACTGCTGACACAAGCCAGAATTTTAAAACTGCAGCTTCATGTGGTGTGTAAAGCTCCCCGCCGCTCCCCCAAACCCCAGTGTGCTGGGGTGAAAAACAAGCTGCCTGACCAGTAATAATGCAGAATAAAATCAAGGTGTGAAAGCAGGCAGAAAGGAGCCCCCCTGAGTATCTCCCAAGAGGCCAGGGCACCGTACCCCACGAACACAGAGAGCCTTCTGGAAGCAGGGCAAAGACACCTCCGGAACTCCGGGTTTAGAAAATGACAGAAAACCTGGCCAACCTGGGAGAATCACAAGGCAAAGAAGGACATCTCTTCTCGGAAATGCCCGGCCTGGCTTCAGCTGGCTTCAACTTCTTTTCAGGAGTGATGGGTGGGTCTCACTGGGGCACCAGAGGGTGCAGGTGGTACAGGTGGCAGCAAGGGCTGCCTGCCTGTCAAGGAGGGCACAGCAGAGCCAAGACCAGAGACTCAGGCTTCAGGGCGCAGTCCCCGCAAGGCCCGGCCACGCTGCCCTGCAGGATGTGTGTGGAACGGGACACCATTTCCCTCAGCCCTATGCCTTCAGGAAGTTCAGATTTTATTCTAGGGGAGGCGGCATGGCTGGGAAGAATGGTACCCTCAAAAGAAGTTTCAACCCTGGAGGATTCTACATGGAAACGGGTTTTACAGAAAAAGAAAAGGAGAAAAACAATCTGTTTCCTTGGCCTATAGACTTGGAGCACTTTAAAATGTTACCTATGAGGCTGAGCGAGGTGGCTCACGCCTGTAATCTCAACACTTTGGGAAGTCGAGGAGGGCAGATCACTTGAGGTCAGGAGTTCAAGACCAGCCTGGCCAATATAGTGAAACCTTGTCTCTACTAAAAATACAAAAATTAGCTGGGTGTGGTGGCACACCTCTGTAATCCCAGCTACTTGGGAGGCAGAGGTAGGACACTTGCTTGAACCTAGGAGATGGAGGTTGCAGTGAGCCGAGATCGTGCCACGGCACTCCAACCTCGGTGACAGAGTGAGACTCTGTCTCAAAATAAACAAATACATAAATAAATAAAAATTACCTATGGAATGAAATATTTCTGATCACCATTGACGCTTTTTTTGTTAAATAACTGCAAGGTACTTGGAAGACAGATGATGTCACCGACTCATTTAATCAACAAAAGCTGGTGGCCGCAGGCAAGGCGTGGTCTGCCCATGGTCCTGCAGCTAGTGGGACCCAGCCTGGCCCACTGCAAGCTCAGCGCTTTCTCCCACAGGCCCTTGCGGGGATCAGGGCCAAGGTTTACACCTAAACCAAGCAGCTGGTGCCTTTGGGAAAAACACAACCTTTAGCACCATAGAGAAGAAAAACAAACAATCAGCATTTCTCTGTCACTTACAAGGCATGGAGCCATTCCATTTCCAAAAAGTATGGCCTCTTTCACCACAGGGAAGAGCACCCAAATTCAGTGAACCTGAAAACCCACACCTCCCCACTCGCCTTCTCCATAGTCCTCCAATAAGCTAGAGCCTCTGAATGCCTCTTTGGCTCTGCGCAGGGCCAGAGGGACGGGGCAGGGGCGGGCAGACTTACCCGTGCTGGGCATGTGGTTCACGCGGGCAGGATTCAGCAGCTCCACTGGCTGGTCTCGGCCAGAAAGTCCATCTGGAGAACAGAGAAGGCACTGGCTTGAGAAACTGCGTGCATTTCAGCCAAAATCCTTTATGCTAGCAGTCTGTAGGGAGTGACTCCCCAAACAATGAAAATGCACGTGCCCTTCCGACTTCTAAAGGGGGACACTTTCCGTTTCGTCACAGGTTATTTGTATTTGCCAAAGAAAATCAAAGCTCCTTTGTAGAATAACCGGAATACCTCCTACTGAGATACAGCAAATGTCTGCTTCTGGCCTTAGAGTCAGTGGCTTGGCAATTTGGGTTGACTTTTGTTTAGCAACCACTCGTGCTGATCAGAAGTCGGCTTTTCTGCAGACCACAAGCATTAAGATAATCAAAAGAGAAGAGCAGCTCTTCCTCCTCCCAGATAGTGGCAACAGTCTGGATGCTCACAGAAACACAGCCCAGGGTGCACCCCAAACCCGCCCGGCGTGCGGACAGGGAAGGAAGCGAGCCAGGGCACCTCCAGCTGCACACAGGCCCGGAGAACGCTTCGCCAGATGTTCTCAAGGTACAGAGCCCTTTCTTTAAAATCCACTTTTAGACTGTATTCGGGAGCTGCTTCTGTCTATTCCAGCTCACTGCAAAGATGAGACTGGAGCCCACCCACCACCTAAACCTGGCACAGGCTGGATTTAGACTGCCTGGGATTTTTCTATATTCTCCCAAGCAGAAAGGAAAGAAAACTCTGGCAAGATTTCCAGGAATCACACTTTTCTTTTAAAATTAGCTTCTGGCAAGTGGTGTAAAATGCCCTGCAATAATGTGCATCTCATCACAGACTTGCACACGGAGGTCACTTTCCTTACTCAGTGAAGGAAGAGAGCACCAGCTTCACAGGGCAGCCATGGAATTCTGCAGAAAGAAGTTTTAAAACATGACAAAAACTACTCACATCAGGTCAAATGACTGCCCAAAAAAAGCCCACTTTTTATCCAAAGTAGGTAATTCCCAGCAGAGCCAAGCCCTGCCTGTCCTTGGAGATGTTCAGTATCCAAGGGCGGAAGCAATGGCCCTGAAGACTGAAGAGCACTCTTGGGATCGGAAGCCATCCAACGCTAGAGCTGGAACGTGTGAGGCCAGCATGGACCTGCGGCAGCTCACAGGCAAGGCTGCTCTTGGGCAATGCAGAGACCAAACGTGGGGGCCAGAAATAAAAATTGAAATTAAGACAACAACCAAAAACCACGGGTACCTCTCCAACCAAGCAGCAGCTCCTCCCAAGTAGCAGCTCTAAAGGTTTGGAAACAGAAGTAAGACACTGGGCATATCTGGGGGCACGGCAGTTCTGCTTCCGGAGTGGGAGAAAGGCTGGCAGGTCACGGTTACACCTTAGAAGCAACCACCAGACCTGAGCAATCCTCCCCAGTCTTCACACATTCCAGGGCTTTCTCAAAGAACACGACAGCCGAGGGGATGGCCTGGACCCCAGACTGTAACCCTAACGCCACGCCTCAAGAGAAACTTCACTGCAACTCAGAAAGACATCCCAGGTAGTGACGGGAAGTACCTTGCAAGCCTTTTTTCCTAAAAATAAATAAATGCTCATTGTGTGTGTATATATATTTAACCCAAATCCCACTATAAATACTTTCAGAAACAGCAGAAGGCACTTTTGAAGATGTGAATGTAGCTGCAGTTTTCCAATGGGAAGGGCAGGAGCAGGGTACTCGAGTGGGTGGGGAACCGCCCTGTTGAGGGCTCTGCAACAGCTCCTGCAAGAACTGCCCCACCGTGGTCAGCTCAATGCCCACCCATCGTGTCCATCTCAGCAAAAGCCCTGGAACCACAAGTCTGGAAATCAAGAAGCCTCCTGGTGGTTAGCAGCAGCAGTGGGGCCAGAGTCCGGCTCACGCGAAGACCTTCTTGAGTCTGGAAGTGAGCCGCTTATGCCCGAGCCTGAAAGGGGATTCCCTCTGGCACCAAGTTCATAAATGAGGCCTAATTACAGGTTACTTGTAACTACACTGAAGCAGGAAGACACATCAGATGTCAGTGCAACCGATTTGACTTGTAAGCTACGATATTGCGGTGTTCCCGTAACCACAAGCATCACTCGTGTTTCAGGTCACGGTGCAGCTCAGTGGGTGTTGGCTCACCCACCTCTCTGGGTGCTGGGCTGGGCCATGTCCCACCTAGCCTTCAAGAAGACATCGATCACACACTCACACTAGCGGGCACACCAAGAAGAATGCCGTTCACTAAGGGCACGTGGATTCCCTGCGTAAACCAGACCGTGAACTTACGTGTCCAGTCCTGTGCACTGATGGGCGGGGTGGTTCTGACACCAGCCAACTGGTACCAACTGGGTGTCCAGTGACCCAGTTCCACTGTGTCACTAACTGCCTGGAGCTAGCACACACGCCACAGCCTAGGGGCTCAGGCCTACAGGCAGCCCCTATTTCACACACAAGTCCTGGACTTCTGAAGGTTGGCTATAAATCAGGGGTTCCCACAAGCCCCTCTCAGGTCCTACAATTTGCTTAGAAGGACTCACAGAACTCAGAAAAAAACACTTTACCATGTTGACAGATTTACTGTAAAGGATGCAAATAAACAGCAACGTGCAGGCAGGGCCGGGAGGGGTCCTGAGTGCCCGGCCCCCTGTCTCAGCACCGCTGGGGTCAGCAGGTGCAGCTGAACATTCTGTCCCGCTCGCCTCTGGGTCCTGGTGACTGGCCCCATCCCGAGGCTACCCAGGGGTCCTGCCCTAAGCCACCTCCCTAGCATGATCTCAGAAGCCCATGAGCAGCACCCCCTTAGGAGTAACGAGAGGCTCTCTTGACACTCAGGAAGTTCCCGGGATCCTAAGAGCTCCCTGCCAGGAACGAGGACAAAGACCAGACAGGTTTCTTCTTCCACCACACGGGGTTGCTGCTTGTTCTCGCTGTGTGCCACTGGGCCTGGCTGGCACCATAACAGCCTGTAAATTCAAACCCCCAACACCGCCATGTTCACATCTTTGCAGAATGACATGGAAATGCCTGAAGGGAAACTGTTCCGATGCGGCACTGGGTTAATAGGAAGCAACTGCTCTCAAGGAAAGGGGCAGCCGTGTGGAACTAACGGAAAACAGCAGGAGTGTCTCAAGCACACGGGAGCCTTGGAGGAGGCGGCACAGATGTGGGTCTCAGTGCCAGATGCCCACCCCACATGTGGAGGCACCGTGAGCCCCAGGCAGCTGGAAGCATGGCCACAGCGTCTTTAAGACAAGATCCCGGCCTGAGCCATCCCTGGTCGTCCACCTGGGGAGTATGACCAATGCTGCGTCCCTCATTACGAAAGGGGGGCGTGCAGGGCAGTCGTCATGACGGAGACGCCAAACACTAAAGGTGTTCTGACGGAGGTGGCCGCTGGAGCAAGGTCCTGGGAGCAGAGCAGTGGCAGTCAGACTGCACTTTTAAGGCGCAGCAGCCAGCAGGTCTGGGGGCCAGCTTTGGAACGGACCTCCACAAAGCACAGCCAATGGGGCAAAGCACATCCGTCACCAGGGTGAAACGGACAAGCTGGGGACACAGCCAGCCGGAAAGCGAGAAGGCATCCGTTCATGTGCACAGAATAGATTCTTAACTCCGTGCCTTTTCAGACACCGTATTCCGGAGTGAGTTAAAATGAAATTAGTGATGAGAGGTGGAATTTCCATATTTATCTGCCTCAGCCTGAGGAGAAAGCAGCGCTAAGAACCTAACATTTATAAGCAGGAAAATAATTAACATGGGAATCAAAGTACCACTTCCGCATCACACGCCTGCTGCAGGCGGGCTCCCCCTTACCTGCTTCCGCTTGAGAATCTATCTTTGGAAACCCGGCCGGACAGGATGATGATACTGAGTGTCCTCAAATGGCATTTAACCAGGCGCACGCTCAGAGGGAAGCGGGGAGCGCGGTACCTCCGCGTCCTCAACAGCACGTGACGCGCGTCCATGTGCTCAACGCGTCCACAACCGACTGCGGTGTCCGAGGAGTCCCTTTCGAGCCGACAGGACCCAGCGTGAACTGAGCACTGGGCGAGACTCGGAGTCTGCCCATGGGAGGAGCAGGGATAGGACAGACGGTGCTTCTGCTTTTCAGAATCCACCTCATGTGACACAGGTAGGTGTGTCTAACAGAAACCTGGCCTTCCGGAGCCGAAGGAACCTCACTTTCACCCGGATGGCCCCAGCCCCTCACTTCACACTTGGGGAAATGGCCCTAAAGGGCCGTGCAGTTTGCCAGGATCATGGAGTGAGCCCCAGCCGGAACCCAGGTTGGTCTCAACTAAACCAGAGCCTGGTATGACGCTGGACCTTGAGCAAACAGGACCCCACAAAGACCAGTGCCCTTCATCGGGGTTCCACACCACAGTGCTGCCACACAAGAGGGGCGGTATCTTGGGCCAGTGAAGGCGGCACACGGAAAGCCCACCCACAGGCTCCTGAACTGGAGGCAGAAGGGAGCGGGGAGGAGCTGGGGTTTCTGTCCCTGGGAAGCAGCATCCTGCCTGGGACCACCTGTCCCGGTCAGGGTCAAAGGGTGTCTCTTGGAGGTTTCGTTTCCCTTTTCCAGATGACCAAACACGGATCATCTTTTTACATGCTTATGGGCTTTTTTTTTTTTTTCTGCTATTTTGGATTCATGTGTTTTTCACCTTCCCCCCCCCCAGTTGGGTTATCTTTTTCTTACTGAGTCAGAGGAATTCTTTAAAAACTCCGAACATTAATCCTCTGTCAGTTATTGCTGCAGATATCCTCTCAAAGATCCTATTTCTCCATCTTTTAAAGCTTATGCTTTTATGTTGGGTTCAAGAAATTGTTCTCTTCCTGGAGACTGCACAGATTAACATATTTTTACCCTGAAACTTTGCAGTGCTCCCTTTTATATGCAAGTCTCTCATCTATTGGGACTCATGTTTGTGTACGCTATGAGGCAGGGGTTTGGGGCAGGTTTCCTATGAGAACAGCCAAATGAGCCCTCAGTATTACCAACAGATCTTATCTGTCACCACGGATCAGCAACGTCAGTTCCCTCATAAGCCAAATCTCAGTCCTACTGGCCAACGTGTTTCTGGCTTTGCCAATAATCACACTGTCTTAACCACCAAAACTGTACAATAATTCTTAATACTGGCAAGGCAAAAAGAAACCTACTTTTTTCTTCAGATCATCTTGGGCAAAATTGGCCCTTTACTCTGCCACATAAATTTTTAAATTAACTTGTCAAGGTCCACCAAAAAGGATGGATGGATGGAGGGAGGGAGGGAGGAAGGAAGGAAGGAAGGAAGGAAGGAGAAGAAAAGGAAGGGAGGAAAGGAGGAAGGAAGGAAAAACTGTGGCTGGGACAGCACTGCATCTATCTTTTGGGGAGAAGATAATATTTACAGTATTGCATCTTTCATTCCATGAACATGGGCTATC